GCGTTTGGGTCCTGCTTGCTTCACTCACCGTAACAGAACGAACCGACCAAGAAATGGACCCAGCAGATGATCCATTTGAGGTGGAACTACAACATTTTTCCTTTTATTTGGCTTGCTGCTATGATTGGTGGAAGGGAGCGTCCAGTGTTCTGCAGAGGGAGGCCGCTCTGGTAGAGGCGCACCGGTTGTCTATGGAGAAACCAGACTTGGTGAAATTCTTGCCTGGCTGGATTTTGAACTTCCTCTGGGTGTGTGATTTCCAGCCTGCTGAATACAAACGTCTCGGTGTGTTCCGTCTGGAGTCAACCAGTGCTTCTGCCCCAGTTCCTGCTCCTGTCCAGGAGTCGTATGCTGGAACTCGTCTGGCTTATGGAGGTCCACGGAGCTTTCCGGCGGCTGCAAAGAGAAGGAGGCGCAAAGCCAAGCTAGCAGCCATGCCTCCATGCTCCAGTACCGGCCCACGCAGCTTTGCGTCCATACTGGATTACCTGGCTTACACAGCCAGGGTCCAGGCTTCCGCGCCGGACCCAGCAGCCATGATTCTGGCTTCAATTCCGGCTCCAGAGCCGGCCCATTCAGCCATGTTTCCGGCTCCAGAACCGGACCTTACAGCCATGTTTCCGGCTCCAGAACCGGACCTTACAGCCATGTTTCCGGCTCCAGAACCGGACCTTACAGCCATGTTTCCGGCTCCAGAACCGGACCTTACAGCCATGTTTCCGGCTCCAGAACCGGACCTTACAGCCATGTTTCCGGCTCCAGAACCGGACCTTACAGCCATGTTTCCGGCTCCAGAACCGGACCTTACAGCCATGTTTCCGGCTCCAGAACCGGACCTTACAGCCATGATTCCGGCTCCAGAACCGGACCTTACAGCCATGTTTCCGGCTCCAGAACCGGACCTTACAGCCATGATTCTGGCTTCAATTCCGAACCCCGCAGCCATGGTTCCGGCTTCAGTACCGGCCCCGGAAGCCATGGGCTCGACTCCAGTTTCGGCTACAGGGCTGGCTCCCCAGCCGACGCCAGCTCCCCGAGTCTTGTCGGCGTACCGGCCGACTCCAGCACCTCGTCTCCTGCTGGCTCCCCAGACGATGCCAGCTCCCCATGTCCTGTCGGCGTACCGACCGACTCAAGTCCCCTCTAAAGTTCCTACCCGAGTGCCCTCTCCAGTTCCTACCCGAGTGCCCTCTCCAGTTCCTACCCGAGTGCCCTCTCCAGTTCCTACCCGAGTGCCCTCTCGAGTGCCCTCTCGAGTTCCCTCTCGAGTTCCCTCTCGAGTTCCCTCTCGAGTTCCCTCTCGAGTCCCCTCTCGGGTCCCCTCTCGGGTCCCCTCTCTAGTCTCCTCTCAAATCCCTTCTCGAGTCCCCTCTCTAGTCCCCTCTCGAATCCCTTCTCGAGTCCCCTCTCGAGTTCCCTCCTTTAGTCCCTCCTTTAGTCCCTGCTCTAGTCCCTCCTTTAGTCCCTGCTCTAGTTCCCTCCTCGAGTCCCCTCTCTAGTTCCCCTCTCGAGTTCCCTTCTCTAGTTCCTCCTCTAGTCCCCTCTCTAGTTCCCCTCTCGAGTCACGTCTCGAGTTCCCCCTTGGTTCCCCTCTCGAGTCACGTCTCAAGTCCCTACCCAATGTCCTGGTCCGTTGGAGGTTCCGCTGGGGGTCCTGCCAACTCCATGTCCTGTCCCGTTGGAGGCCCCGTCGACTACTCCTCTGCCGGGGGTCCTACCAATCGTATGTCTGTTCCGTTGGAGGTCCCGCCGTCTACTCTCCTGCCGGGGGTCCTGCCAACCCTTTGTCCTGTGCTGTTGGAGGCCCCGCCGACTACTCTCCTGCCGGGGGTCCTGCCAACCCTTTGTCCTGTCTCGTTGGAGGTCCCGCCGTCTACTCTCCTGCCGGGGGTCCTGCCAACCCTTTGTCCTGTCTCGTTGGAGGTCCCGCCGTCTACTCTCCTGCCGGGGGTCCTGCCAATCCTTTGTCCTGTGCCGTTGGAGGCCCCGCCGACTACTCTCCTGCCGGGGGTCCTGCCAACCCTTTGTCCTGTGCTGTTGGAGGCCCCGCCGACTACTCTCCTGCCGGGGGTCCTGCCAACCCTTTGTCCTGTCTCGTTGGAGGTCCCGCCGTCTACTCTCCTGCCGGGGGTCCTGCCAGCTCCTTGTCTCGTTGGAGGTCCCACCGACTACTCTCCTACCGGGGGTCCTGCCAACCCTTTGTCCTGTGCTATTGCAGGTCCCGCCGACTACTCTCCTGCCGGGGGTCCTGCCAACCCTTTGTCCTGTCTCGTTGGAGGTCCCGCCATCTACTCTCCTGCCGGGGGTCCTGCCAATCCTATATACTGTGCCGTTGGAGGCCCCGCCGACTGCTCTCCTGCCGGGGATCCTGCAAATCCCGTGTCCTGGCCCTCTTCCGTGGGGGTTCCTGCCGAGGCCTGTCCCACCAGTTCCGACACCGGGTCCTGCCCGGTCTCCGGCACTGTCCCGTCAGCGCCTTCCTGCCCGGCCTCCGGAGCTCTCTGGTCTTCGCCCTCGAGCCCGGGCCCCTGAGAGCCGCGGTCTTCGCCCTCGATCCCGGCCCTCTGTGAGCCGCAGTCTTCACCCTCGAGCCCGGCCCCCTGACAGCCGCGGTCTTCGCCCTCTAGCCCGGCCCCCTGACTCTTCCTGCCGCGGTCCTCGCCCTCGGGCCCGGCCCCCTGACTCTTCCGGCCGCGGTCCTCGCCCTCATGCTCGGCCCCCTGACTTTTCCGGCCGCAGTCCTCGCCCTCATGCTCGGCCCCCTGAGTTCGCCCGCGGTGGCCTTCGCCCCTCCATAACCCCCATTTTGGACTCTGCCTTACCCCCGGGCCGTCCGCCCGAGACCCCTGCCTGGTCCTCTGCCTTGCCCCCGGGCCGTCCGCCCGAGACCCCTTCCTGGTCCTCTGCCTTGCTCCCGGGCCGTCCGCCCGAGACCCCTTCCTGGTCCTCTGCCGTGCCCCTGGGCTGTCAGCCCAAGCCCGTCCTCCAGACCCCCTCCACCCACCCTGGTGGCTTAGTGATGCGTCCCTCCTCCGGACCCCCTCCACCCACCCTGCTTAAGGTTTTGGACTTTTTTAGTTTTGTTTTGGGACGTCTGGGATCCGTCCCTTGAGGGGGGGGGTACTGTCACGATCTGTCTCTGTTATTGTTTTGTCTTGTCTTTTTCTATCTTTGGGTTTCCTGTTTTATTTTGTAAATTGTTCACCCCCGTTTCCTGCCTGTTGCTTTCTGTCTGTTTTCCCTCCCTGATTACCCGATTGTGTTCACCTGGTGCCTCTGTGGTTTCTCCTCCCTCCTCACCTGTGTCTTGTTTGTGTGATTAGTCTTGTGTGTATTTAAGTTCTGGTTTTTCTGTCTGTCTTTGTCAGTTCGTCGTTTGTATGTGACTGTGTTCACCGGGGAGTGTTCTGGGTTTTGACGTTTAGCCTTGAAATAAAGGATTTTTCAGTGTTATCTGCGTTTGGGTCCTGCTTGCTTCACTCACCGTAACAGTTATACCCTTTACAGTATGCATACAATCCATTCATAACGCCATATATTAAATTCCAATATATTTTAAAATCTATTTTTAATGGTATTTGAAGCCATCAAATACCTCAACTTCATTTAAGGTTGAACAATGACAGGGATTCGCTTTGATATGATTAAGGTGTGGTACAATACTTGCTTACAATGCAGGTGAACTGAACCGTGTGAATAACTGACGGGTAGTCTGGTCCACTTTAATGAGTAACTAATGTGGGAGGGGACACTCGCCAAACACTCATTCATTCATCATTACCCTTAGTTTAAAAAAAGGGAGTAACTAAAATATAACTTGTGTAGGCTATATGGTCTTGTTGCATTGATCTGGGTTAACGTGGAGCCGGCTGAAGACTCAAGACTGAGGGCCCGCTCTTTCAAGACACCAACACAACTAAGAAAGGCTCCTTCTATACTGGTTATTTCATGTATTTGTTGCGATCAGATGCAAAGGGCTGCAGAATGTATTGCAATGTTAACAAAAATTGACAAGTGCAATATCCAAATCGAAGCGAGCGCATTGTTTAGTAAAGGCAAAATATGTGAAAATATTCTAAATGAAATATCATGGTGCTGCAAGGAAGTCCTGGACTAAGAACTTTTCTAAAGACTTAAAATAAAAATGAAAAGGAATGCTGTCAATCGATTAAAACATTTATTCGCATTATCACAATAATAATCTGTAATTAATCATTATTAATTACCAGTATATAGTAAATAAAACATGTGTGTTGGTTCAGAAAAGCATGAAAAACTGACAAGAGAAATTATAGGGTTTTGAACCTTTAGTATTACATGATTTCTGAATTATTAAGTCCCACAATTTTCCGACACTTTGCTAAAACTTTGAGAAGCTGCCGTCACTAAGAGCTTCTTCACTCCTGTGCAACTTCAAGAAACTGGCTATCGCTTGTTGGGCAAAATGCCTTTCCTCCATCTTCACCACACCTAAAGCCAACGGGTGCATCACAGCAGTTACAGTGGAGGTAGTTATGGCTGTTCACTGATGTCCGCTGATTGAAGTCAATGTCAAAGCCTTTTCACTGCCATGTGATTCATGATAAACTGGTAGTTCGGGAGCAACTTTGGGTCAAAATTGGTAATGTGAATAAATTGCCCTAATTCTTTTCGTAAACAGGCTGAGGTTTCCAGATTTATCACGAGTGTTTGACATTGACATCTTATCTTAATATAAAAAAATATATATCTTAATAGCTTTATCAGCCAAAATCATTGCAATTATAATTTTTTCAAAATTGTGCAACCCTTCTGTATTTAATGAAACAGATGTCATCAATACTTTTATACTAACAATTAAATGACAATAGGATAACATTGCAAAAAAGGTAGCTCCTTATGGATCTACTGAGACTTCTTACCCAAATCTACCATTCCCCTCAGGGCTTTAGTGAGTTTCAGCTCATTGATTAGTTTCCAATCAATGATTTAGTGTCTTCAGAAATAAAAGTAACTCTCGATGGATCAAATAATCCTTTTATTTGTCAAATAAATCATACAGTACAGTAAGTCCTTGTTTATGGCATTACCATCTTCTATACCAACAGCAAACATACATTGGTAACTTCAATGGGAACCACCATATCAAACAGTCTGTTCTTTTCTATTAACAAATATAAATAAAATGTGTTTAGGGCCTGAGATAATGTGAAAATCCACTGAATATTTCTAAAAAACAAAACACATTGATTTGTTATAAACTTAGAATTGTTTCTTTTCAATTACATATTTACATAAATAATGTATCTATAGACTAAGTCCAAGAGAAAAAGCTCCTGGGAATAATCTTAGATTACTGAATTATCACAAAACACTTAAATAACATTGTTGCAGAGGTGGGAAAATTGAGTTGCTGCATTTAAAATATGTGCAAATGTAACACAAAACTGTTACTCAGCATTTATCGTCACATTTTACAGGAGATTAAATAATGAAACAGAGCAAAGCGAAATAAGAACAGGTGATGTTGAAATCTGGTTGAAATGCATAATTTTCCAGATGGATTATTTGTTAACAACAGTTTGGCACTTGCATTCATCAGAAAAAGTTGTGTTTGGACTCTAGCTATAGTTTGACATTTTATATAACTGAAATAAAGGACGAAAACAATTTTAAAAAAGCATGTTGTTGAACAAGTCTGGTTGAGTTTGGAACTAAATTATTTATTGTGTTAACTGAAAATCGACCCTTTAATAGTGTTTTATTTGTCAGATTGTTATAGATTTTTTTATCTCACTGTCAACTTGTATATTTTCTACTTTTTAATACTGTTTTATTTATATTTTGAGATGTTTAAATTTAAGAAATTGTTTAATTCTACTCTTAGTTCCTACTTATGTGCAATGCCTTGTTTTTTATGCTCAATTTGGGATCAATAAAGTACCTCTTATCTAATCTTAAATACAAATATGAATTTCATCATATTGGTGATGGGACCTGTGGAGGGGGGGGGGGGCTCAAGGACCTGGAATACTGCCGTGAAATAGAAAGTCTTGTGCATTGAGTGAAACAGACTACTTTGATGTCTTCTGATTATTGTTTTGGAAACTATCGCGAAACAGAACATGCTATGATTTGCATTGAGTTGAGGAAACCGAGAGTCTGCAGCAATGCAAATGTGCGTCTATTTTCTACTAGTTTCACTTCCCTTTTGGCTGCAGGCCTTTCGGGGAAACATGCTGACAGATATACAGTAGCACCTTATCATTTTATCACACAGCAACTTTTATTGACATTTACTGTCAATCTTTTCCTGAATTACCCTGATCATCGATTGCGGGAATTATTGACACATTTCTTAAAAAGCTAGTTTCCGCATGTCTGTTGGAGGCAGACTTACAGTAAGGCACTTATTGTACATAAAGATATCCGTCATTAACCTTGCAGGTTGATCTTAAGCTATCAAATTACATTTCTTCCGTGGTTCAAGTGGAACTGGAGAACAAGCTATATCTTGTTTTCGTTGATGGCTTTTTGGATTGTTGTGGCTTCACACCTCCCCATTATAAAGTTAAACTTTATCTTCATGAAATTAATCTCTATATTGATCTTTCAGTTAGTCCTTTGGACCAACACATATCATTAATCTTTCCGCCATAACAATGTCATTATAGTTCACAAATGACAGATTAAAGAGAATCAATGCAAAATAAAAATAAAATAGATGTGATCACTGAGTATGCATAAGGAGTCCAACATGGCACCACACCGGTATCAAACATTATGCTAAAGCTAACACCAGATTAGCACATGGTACATTTCCACTCATCTATGGCACTTTTAATTAACTGTACACAAGGAAGCTATTGTTATCATTGCGAGCTAGCTAGCCAACATTGTGCAGTCTGACCTCAGTCACGGCAATAACTGTGACAAACTGGTTGATCATTAACCCCGGCTAAAGTGCTTTGGACAAGCTAACTCAAGGGAAATGAGTCCTCCATTAAAAAAAAGAAAGACTGAGAGCAAAGTGAAGGTTTCTCATGTTAGCTGCTTCCAGTGAGACCCCCCCCACATTATCCATTTCATCCAGTGTGGTCAATTCTTGCGAACTTGAGCGTAGAGTTCGGCGATTTCAGGCTGAGGAGCCGGCCTCTTGTTGCGCTGTAGGTGAGCATCGTAGGTTGGGAGAGAGGACGCAGCAGCACGAGGATTGTTGTTCAGTCTGACCTCAGCGTAGTCTGACGGTTTATTCTGGTCTCCCATCTGGACTGTTTCCCCGTTATTCTTTTTGGTAAAATGGACATCTGCGTAGTGCATCTCCTAGGAAAAATAAAAAGAAAGGAAATTAATGTAAGATTACATTTACAGTTACATTGGATTGAATCATACCTCAGTGGTAGGCGTCAGCATGTTATCGTCAATAATCAACTCTCTCCAGCTCTAGACTTTAAGAGCAACTTGCAGGTTTTTTTTTTACTCGATTTATGCTTAACCTTGCCTGAAAACTAGAATTAAAAAAGTTAATGCAGGATTTTATATGTTTTACGAGACATAAGGGCAGGAATTCAGAGGGGAAAGGAGACGTTTTGAGCTCTGCTACTAAAAACTGCTTTTTTCAAACACCATATACGTCAAACGCGTCATATTACGTCACATGGGGGAGCAACTTTCTCGGACTCCTTCTCTGCCCAATCCGCGGTAGTAGTTTGTAGTTGGTTTGAGTGGTTGTGATTTAGTGAGCTGGTATTTTTTTGGTAATTTTACATTGCATTTCACAATTTGTAATCATGGTGAGACTCCAGCCTGTCAGGACATCGAGTCCACAGTTTCCCTAACAGGAAAAGGACCGGAGCTAGCTTTTGTTCCTGGGTGCGTTGTGCGAGGTGCATCCACCTCCCTGCAGCACATACTCTCCACAGCTGAGGCCTATCAAACAAAAAGTTTATCAGGAAACCGTATTATCTCTCTCCCCCCCTTCGCTGCTCTCTCTCTCTCTCCCCCCCTTCGCTGCTCTCTCTCTCTCTCCCCCCCTTCGCTGCTCTCTCTCTCTCTCTTCCCCATTCGTTGCACTCTCTCTCCCCCCCTTAGCTCCTCTCTCTCTCTCCCCTCCGGTACACAGCACCGTTACGGCCCGTCCACACGGCGGCGTGCATTGAAGCTTCAACGCTTCTGCCCATTCCCTTTGAATGGGGTGACATCACGCTTTGCCGAACTGCATTGTGGTTCCGTCGCTTCGCTATGATCGCGTTGCTCGCTTCAAAAGAAGAGCAATGTTCTAATTTTGAAGCTTCGACGGAAGCGTCAGCCAATCAAATCATATGCCAGTACAAGCTCTAGCCCAGTGGTTCTCAAATGGGGGTACGCGGACCCCTAGGGGTACGTTGGAGTACTGCAGTACATGAGATTTATTTTATGTTAATAAAAAAAAACAACATAATTAATGCATTCAAACAAACTACTAATAGCAGATGAACTACTTTATTCATAGGTTTACAGTAATTCTGGATAATAAAATGGGGAAAGTAAACGGGGTGCTCTCTTTTCCTCTCCCTCTCCTGACAGCCCGTCAGTCTCGTGCAGCTCGCTGAATAAGTAATAAGTGACCCGACAGTACAGAATAGCCTACACATATTTATAACTAGTTTAGCTAGTTCCAGAGTAGATACACTAGCTAAGTGTGTTAGGTCTAATTTTGTGTATTTAATTTTGTTCCACTCAACGTTCCGTCACAGCGGCGGAGCTGTGATCATGCAGAGCTGCGTGTTCTCCATCAGCAGCAGCTGATCTGATCTCTGATCTCTCTCTCGCGTCCAGTTATACTTCACTCGTGTGTTGTGAGTTTTCATAGTATGTTTAATACTTAAAAACGAAAGTTAGTTACAATCAAATATAATCAATTATATTCTTCTATAACCCACAATGAAAATGCTTCATATTTTAGGTTTTCTATAGTTACAGTATAAACAAAACAAAGTGGTTTGTTTAGGTTGAGTTTTCTTCCTCTCCTCTGGCAGCAGTCCACAGGGAGGGGGGGCTTCACACTAAGGGGAGAAACATTAGAGGCCAAAGAGAGTTCATGTCCTTTTTACCTCATATGAAAGGGTGTCTTATCCCATAACAGCTGTGGAACATGTCGGGACATGTTTAGCCTTGTACATTAGTGCGCATGCGCAGTTTTCAACTGAATTGGGTGAAGAGGAGGAGTTTGTTTTTTTGGGTTTAGGATCCAGTTTTTTTAGCATAAAGAGACTGGTTTTTTGAGAGAGCGAGAGAGAGGGGGGTTGACCCCTGGTAGACTCTCTCCCGGTAGGCTGTGTGCTTCAGAGCTGGGTTAATAGCTCTCGGTAAGGTCCTTCCAGACGGGGTAAATATCTCTCGAATGTATTGGTTGTTGGCTGAGTGGAATGATTTGATGAGAGATGTGTGTATGAACATTATAAATACCGCAACCTGTGGGGAAATCTTGCCCCCAGAATTTTGCGGACAGGTATGGGTTTTTGAGTGTTAATCCGCCGTCTGTGTCGGAAAAAGTGTATGAATATTATAAATACCGCGACCTGTGGGGAAATCTTGCCCCCCGAATTTTGCGGACAGGTATGGGTTTTTGAATGTTAATCCGCCGTCTGTGTCGGAAAAAACGGTATGAAACTGATGTGAATTGAGTTGGTAAAAATGAAAAAGTTGAATGCGCTTTTTATTGTCACCGGTCTTTTTACGAGGAAATACCTCTAAATTCTATCGGGAGAATTTTAAAATGTCACAACTGAAATGGGCAGTTGGAATTAAAACATTTTGGTAATAAATGTAAGACTGTGAATTAAAGTTTCATTTGAACATGATCACAGCACGGTTTTTTGTTAGGATGATTATAATGTTGTAAGAGAGAAGGTAAAAACCCTGTATTAGTTTGGACCTATTTTTCTTCAAATAAACTGATCCCACCTTTTGGACTGGGATAATTTAAAAGACACCTGTGCCCTCCTCTCCTGCTTCCAAGGTAAGATTGCACCCTGCCACACACACTTAGGTAGGAGCACACTCCATTTACTGATATCAAAATCCTTCGGGATCGCTTAAACAGATTAAAAAAGAGTTGTCTGAATTGAAACAGCAGTTAATTGAAACCTTGGTTCTTCGGGAAGTTAGTAGAGGTGAGATCTTGCTGACGTTGGTGGATCTGAGCCAAGCCGCAAACTTACATAGACTCAATAACTTCGGAAAGGTCAATTAGTAGGTCAGAATAATTTACCGGAATAAATGATCAGGACCACCAAAACTCTAAACAGTGTTTATGTCCAAATATATCAGATCTAGCTAGTTCTAGCTAATTATATTATAGTATATATAGTATAATATTATATATAATATATTATATGACTGCCTGCTTATCAAAGGACCTAAACAATAAGCCTTGCTTGGCGTGTGGCCGCAAAGTATAGCGCAGCATTATGCATATGTTTATATGAGGGGTCAAAATCCCATGCTCATAAAATGCTCATATATTTTTCTCTCTTCATTCCCCACGCCCCTAAATGAATAAATAAATAGATATACCAATTTAGGAAAAGTAAAACACTAAGTGTAATAACTGCAGTTTGCCTCCCTGTCAGAATGAAAGATCCTCAGTGGAACAAGCCCATGTTTCACTACATTGTATTGAAATGTATATATGTATAATGTATATTATTAAAAAGATCAGTTCAATGCAACTAATGTCGTCTCAGTGTTACTGCATGATGTTGAAATTGGTTTGCCATGAATTTGGTGATGGATTGTTTCCCAGTTACAAGGTTGTTGTTTTAATAAATCAGACACTGATGGTGCAAGGCTGTACTGTACCTCTTTATATAGGCATTTTGTCCCTAACAAATTGTTTTTGCGCTGATCAGGGGGTACTTGGCTGCATTTTTTTTTCAAAGGGGGTACACTATTGAAAAAAGTTTGAGAACCACTGCTCTAGCCTATCAAACCGCGTCCTTGTGTGTCCGGGGCGGGAGATTAATGTGATTGGTTGTTGGTCGAGTTTCAGACACGCCCACCGGTAAGCTTCAACACACGCCGCCGTGTGGACGCTGCCTAAGACGTAGTGCGGAGTTGCATTAGGTAACGCGAGATACGGCTGATACTTGCGCATTAGTTTCTGTTATGGATCAGTCTCAACAGTCCTGCCAGTAACGTTACTATATTATCAATACTACTTTAGTTATAGCCTGATATATAACAGCTAACTTTACAATGTTGTGATGTGACCGACGTTAGCTAAAATTAACTGTAGCTAACGCCGGTCACTCACCAAGACAGCTGCCCTGTTCTCCACTGGTTCTTCTCACACCACAGCTCCATTTCTCGCCAATGGCCGTTATTTCTTCTAATCCTTGGCTGCTCCTGGTCTCTTGGCCGCCTAGCAGGCTCATAATTATAAGGTTATGGTCCGTCATATGCATACGAATATACATTTTCAACCTCTTCTGTGTCAAAACTAGCATTGTGAACCATGTTTATGAATACATTAGACCGGCCGCTCTCCCTCATGTGACGTCACACGCGGGTGGTCTTTTTTTATGCGGAAGTAAAAATGTCTTACAAAAACGACGCCAGATGTCACTGTAGTGTATATTTATGTATATGTTTTGGAAAATCTAGTGTATACATCATTTTCCTACACATGTATTCACTGGGGTCTCTAACCTGCAAGTTGCTCTTTAAGCACCGGAGTACCACAAGGTTCAATACTTGGTCCGCTTCTTTTTACCTTATATATTATTGACCTGCCATCTGTCTGTCCTGATGTGGAAACACACCTATATGCCGATGACACTGTGATATATGCGCATGCCAATACAAAGCAGAAGGCTGCTGCTAAACTGACCTGTATCTACTAGTCTCTCATTCTTTTTTTATAACTAATGCTGTTGATGTATTGTGATTTTAAAAAGGTGTCTATTATCATCTGGCTGGGGACAACAGCTGGAAATTAGTAATGTGGGCTAAAGCTGCCCCATTTACTGTTTTTTGTGACAGTTGATCAATGGGGACTGTCCACAACACTATAAACAAATAAACTAAACTAAACATCACATTTGATGCAAAAAAAGAAAAAAGGAGGTAATCGTTAACAATATAATCTACACTGTAATGTTGATGTAATGACACATATTCACTTCTTCTTCATTGTGTCAGCTTAATATCTCGTTCCAGGTTCAAAGTCTGTTGTTGAGTACTGTGTTTACAACATCTCTTAGTAACCAGCAGAGCATGTAAATGACTCTGATTACTTTTACCTGACTTCTTGTGTACGCCCCGTTGTCCTGGCCTTCAACTCCTTTAAAACGTGAGAAATAAACAAAGCTTAGAATGACTCAATGAAGGAAAATACCTCTATGAATACATAAACTCATGTTACACGTAATAGACTTACCAGTTCTGGTGTTGGTGTTTTCAGCGGAACGATCTTTCTTTTGTTTTCTGTTTAGAGAGCACATTAGTCATTAGTCTCAGCAACACAATAATGATACAAGCAGCAATATATCTAGTTATTGGTATTGCATGCATGATAGAAAAAGTAGTTATTTCTTCATACACTGAACAAAAATATAAACGCAACACTTTTGTTTTTGCTCCCATTTTTTATGAGATGAACTCAAAGATCTAAAACATTTTCTATATACACTAAATAACCATTTCTCTCAAATATTGTTCGAAAATCCGAAAAAATCTGTGATAGTGAGCACTTCTCCTTTGCCGAGATAATCCATCCCACCTCACAGGTGTGGCATATCAAGATGCTGATTAGACAGCATGATTATTGCACAGGTGTGCCTTATGCTGGCCACAATAAAAGGCCACTCTGAAACGTGCATTTTTGCTTTATTGGGGGGGTCCGGGGGGGTCCAAAAACCAGGCAGTATCTGGTGTGAGGGGTAGGGTTAGGGTTAGGGGTAGGGTTAGGGTAATGTTGTGAATCGAGTGGCCTGTGTTCGTCGTCCATAACATACGCCTGCCCATACCATAACCCCACCACCACCATGGGCCACTCGATTCACAACATTACCCTAACCCTACCCCTACCCCTCACACCAGATACTGCCTGGTTTTCGGACCCCCCCAGACCCCCCCAATAAAGCAAAACTGCACGTTTCAGAGTGGCCTTTTATTGTGGCCAGCCTAAGGCACACCTGTGCAATAATCATGCTGTCTAATCAGCATCTTGATATGCCACACCTGTGAGGTGGGATGGATTATCTCGGCAAAGGAGAAGTGCTCACTATCACAGATTTTTTCAGATTTGTGAACAATATTTGAGAGAAATGGTTATTTTGTGTATATAGAAAATGTTTTAGATCTTTGAGTTCATCTCATGAAAAATGGGAGCAAAAACAAAAGTGTTGCGTTTATATTTTTGTTCAGTGTAAGAGCTGCATCTATAGTCCTGAAAGTATTTGTTACGAATGATTTACAAGCATATACTTTCAAACATTAATGTAGAGCTCTATAAGGGTCTCCCAATATGTTAACTCATGGTGAATCATATATTCCATCACAGTTAAATATTTATAGCTGGCAGAAACAAAATGTTAAACTTTGAAGTTGTACAGTGTCGAGGGGCGGCTCCATTGTGACACAAACGAGTCATAACTAAAGGGCTTAGGAACATCTGGATAATATATAATAAGAGCAGGGCCTTTGATGAACATCAACCTTTTGTAGGTTGAGTAAAAGAGGTTGTTAAACACAATGTCTACACCATTCCAGCTCCACATTTTCTGTCTGATATCTTCCAATGTGCTGATCCTGAATCTTCCTCCTGCCTGGTTTTTGAGTCAAGCTTTTGGGTCTAAACTTGGAGATACTGAGCCATCACCTTTCCCATACTTGTAATTGAGTATTACTATGAAAATAGGTTTATGTTATATACTTAAGATCTTTTCCACTTACTTTTTGTAACAAAGGAAGTACCACACAATAGCAGCTACAACACCGAGGACTAAAACTCCGATTACTATTCCAGCGATGCAACCACCCGAACAGCCTGATTGGACTTGAATAAAACAGGAGAAAAGAACATGATTTTAACATCATTCTGTAAACAGGAACTGTCTCATTATCTCAAAATGCCTGTGGATAAAAAGCATATCACATTTCTCCCAATATAATATTCCATAGCCAGTTATAAAAACCTATACAATGATTCTGTTAAGAGTTGTTTATGTTGTTTAAAATGCATTTAAAATTACCATAAGCCCTCAAGTCCAGGCTTATTTTCTTCTACAGTTCCTGTTCAATCGATGGCATCAAACATTTTTTTATAAAAGCACATACACACAATTAAAGCAATTTAGCATAGTGAAAAGACAACAAAAATAGAGCCATCACAAGTGAAGCACATGCACAAGCGCGGACAAACCTTACCGCAATGACAATTAGAAAAGGAAAACACATAACAATTAAAATAATGAGAGCATGTCTGATTGTTTGATTTGATTTATAGATTTAAAAGAGTTGAGGGATGTTATGTTCCTTAGATCTGTAGGTACGTGCTGCCAGTTAGAATAGTATACTTTTACTGAAAGGTATTTTACAATCCCCTCTGCTAGTCCTTCTAGTTAACGAGATTTTGTTTTTGTTTAATGAATGTATTGAACGGAGAGGGGGCCAGAGATTTTTTTTTAAACACATTAACTGCAAATTGATCATGTTGTCTTAGCTTAAAATATCAAAATTGATGACAGAAATTTGAGTTTTATTGCATTTTTTATGTTCGTACTGACTTTAATATGCTCCTACCTGGCCCTGGCTCTGGCTCATGTGTTACGGTCAGTTCATGGACCGCTGATGATTTTCTCCCGGTTATATCATTCCACGCTTCACAGTAGTAGTTGCCACTGTCAGATAATTCAGTGTTGTTTTTATAAAACACAGCAGAAGTGTGTATCACTGGCCCATTCAGCGTCCAGGTGTAATTGGCAGTTGGTACAGATGCAGCCGAGCAGGTTAATTTAAATGTGCCTCCCACATGTATCTGACTTGGACCTGTGATTTGAACTGTTTCTGGTCCATCTGGAAAACAAATATTTGGAAGTATTTATTGTTCAAGTGGACTCAATAATCTGAACGTATCATTGTGAACAGTGGAGTTATAGTTTGTTACCTACAGTTAACTATCATGGAGTACTTTGCTTCCTCGCTGCTGAGGGGGTTGCTGATAATACAGGAATAATCTCCTGTGTCGTCTTTACTCAGACTGCTAAAAGACAGCTCTCTGCTGTTGTTGGTGAGGGTCATGTTTACAGTCGGAGTCAGATCTAAGCCTCCCTTTCTCCACTCTCTGGTAAAGACAGAGCCAGCAGCGTCACAGATTAATCTGAAAGAGTTCCACTCAATCGGCAGGTTTGATGGAGATGTGACAGAAGCGCCGGATACTTTCTCTGTTGGGCAAAAGATCACGTGAAGATATAAAAGCAGGAACAAAAGAAGCTGATTTAATGCCTGAGTTAATAAATATAAAAGGAACAGTTTCTTTTTAGAAGATGCAAACATTTTACTACTTCTCCCTGAATAATATAACATGCTGAGTGTCTGACTGCCGTCATTTAAAAAAAAAAAATGCAACGTGTTGTACAACCTATAGCTCAGAAATATCATCTATACAAGAAGTATATATCATCACATGTTCTTAGAAAGATAGTGTGTTAATTAACTGAGTAACAGAGAAGAAAACTGATTATTGTACGATTTCTTTGACAACTGAATCAAAACAGTGGGAGTTTAAGGAACTAAACTTTTTCGGGTAAAGAATTAATTGAAATGATTTTACTGTTGTTAAAGCATTAAATTCCTACTATTGTGAGTATTTGAGACTAATATAGAGAATCCATCAATAAACCATAGTGATGCAAGATCATATGCTCAATATGTTCTGCATGTGTTCCTAAAGGTTTTATTTTTCTGCCTTTTTTAACTGATATTTTATATTAAGGACAATTGATTTGATTACACCTTTCTTATCACACTCATATGCACACCTATATGCATTAAACCTCTCAACGCAAACTTACCCAGTACAGAAACAACTGAAGGCTGAGACGTTTCATATCTCAGAGTCTTGTTGTTAAAGGCCTGACAGCTGTAGTAGCCACTCTGACTGATCTGAACGTTCATCAGACTGAGATCTGATCCAGTATCAGACAGCTGGGCTCCATTCAGAAACCACTTAAATACAGCAGAAGGTCTGGAGTCAGCTGAGCAGTTCATGCTGATGTCTGACCCGTTCTCATAATATTTCTGTGGCTGAGATATTGTCAAATGCGTTTTTTCTGGACCATCTATGTGGCATACGGGGAGTAAAGAAATTCATTAAATGCTGGCAGCTTAAAGCGAATGTTACGTGACCACTTAGCTCAGTGTGAAGCCTCATGATACCATCAACTTTAAAGCAATGTGCAGAATAAAATATATGCACATATGAGTAACTCACAGTAGATGGTGAGGTTTAGTGGATCACTGGTGCCATTACTGACAGGATTAAACACCTGACACCTGAATGGTCCCTGGTCGTAGCGGGTCACATTAATTATAGTTAGAGTGAATCCTCCATCAGTGATCTGAACTCTGTCACTTCCTGTAACCTCAGAGCTGCTGTTCAGCCAGAGGAAAGAGAGAGGGGATCCAGAGGAGGAGCAGGACAGACTGACTGAGCTGAACTCCACCAGCTCTGTTGGTTCTGAAGTTACCACAACATTGGTAACTGGTGCTGTGGGTGGAAAACACAGGGGGTTTACACTGACCAGCTTTTTGCATAAGAAGTAGAGTGGAGTATTTTGAATGTTTAATTCTCCATGGTCAGTAATAATGGCGTTGAACGTAAACATGTAAACATGGGAATGTTCATTTACCTGTGATCCTGCAGTTATTCTTAGTTTATACTTTACAGTTTTTACTGATGGTCTTTTACCAGTACATTCGTCTAACAACGTTGATGCATAGATTATCAGTAAAGCTGGTCACCAAATTATTAAGCATGTTTAAATATCTTATCTTATCCTGTTGCAAAATGTTGCACCAAGCCTCGTACCTGGTGCAACATTTACCGGTGTTGGCTGACCTTACAGGATATCTTGTCCAAATAGCCACGGCAACATTTACCTTGGTTATACAACAATTCAAGTTTTTGTTATCCTAAAACTGACTCTGAATGGCAATTTTATAATTTTTGTATCACTGAAAAACTCTTTTGAGATTTGAAAGGTGATTTCTGTTAACAGAATATTTCTTCCATATTGTTATATCAATGTGTTTAACTATGATTGTCCTGCATTGTGTGTATTAGTTGTATCTGCCAGCCACATCTGTTCTGTGCTGCTGACCTCTCCAGGAAGTATCTTTGTGCGACTTTATACATTATTATTCTCAGCCTCAGTTGTCCTTGTACAAGCAAATATTGCAGCACTCTCAAAAGTGGAAGTGCATTGCATCTGATGCTATAGTCACAAGTACACCCATTTTTTAAATTTATTTTCAAACATACTCAGTACAGAGATGGATGCAGGCGTAGACGTCTCATATCTCAGAGTCTTGTCGTTGAAGGCCTGACAGCTGTAGCTTCCACTTTGACTGATCTGAACGTTCATCAGTTTGAGCTCTGGTCCATCAGACAGCTCGCTACCATCCAGAAACCACGTGAACTGAGCAGGAGGTCTGGAGTCAGCTGAGCAGGACAGGACGATGTCTGATCCTTCCGGATGGTGTTCTTTTGTCGGATTTATTGTGAACATAGTATTTTCTGGGCCATCTGAATTTAGGGTTAATACAACAGCAATACGTTAGTATGCACAACTGCATTATTATACAAATACAAGGAACTTCTATTACATAGCAAGCATACAATGCACTGTCTCTAAATATAGGTTCCTGATTTATAATGATTTAGTTCAGACTGTGCGGTAGTGTGCAGGGATGATGTGCTGGATTCAAATAGGAGGGGAAAATGTGTTTTAAATATGTTATAAACCCATGCGTGAACAAAAAGACAACAGAAAAAAATGACAATTATCTAAACTCTGTTTGCATTCAGATCTTGTTAGGTAAATATACTGAGCATGCAGGTCAGTAACTCACAGTAGATGGTGAGGTTTAGTGGAGGAGCACTGGTTCCCTCACTGACAGGATTAGATACCTGACACAGGAATGGTCCCTGGTCGTAGCGGGTCACATTAATTATAGTTAGAGTGGATCCTCCATCAGTGATCTGAACTCTGTCACTTCCTGTAACCTCAGAGCTGCTGTTCAGCCAGAGGAAAGAGAGAGGGGATCCAGAGGAGGAGCAGGACAGACTGACGGAGCTGTTGAACTCCACCAGCTCTGTGCTGCTGGAGGTTACCGTTACATTGGAGACTGGTGCTGTGGGAGAAACACAAAAAAAACATTTTATAAAGTTACAGTAGAAAATAAATACTGAAGCAGATGGGAGTGAGTCTCTTGTTTAAGATGAGATATTGATTATTCATGGTTCCACATTGAAAGTTTATACACGTTCATTCCACCATAAAAAAGCGATTTTCCCTAAATTTTTATTTGAGGATGATTGTGCAAAGAGTCAAAGGCCTATACCATTGGTTACTTGATCAATCGCTACGCCAAACCTTTATTCAGCCTAGAAAGAGATGCAACATTTGAAACTTTTCTTACCGTATACGTCCAGTCTGGTGTTCCCTGGCTGTGGTCGTTCTCCTGGTGGTACAATGGTAACTGAGTATTCTCCACTGTCAGTTAGAGTCAGGTTCCTGAGCTCCAGAGATCCAGTAGACAAGAAGAAGGTGATCCTGTCTTCATACTCTGGTGCAGGGAAGTTGTTAACATTCCAAGTAAATATATCTTTAGCACCAAATCTCCAGGTCACTGATTGAAAAGTTGTTCCTGGAGTCGGTGTTGTGGTGAACATCACTTTCCCTCCCACAGCTGCGTTCAGACGGTCTGGCAGCACACCAGCTCCTTCAGTTAAACCTGGAGAGAGACAGTTAGAGGTCACTGCAAAATAAGCCCTGGGAAAAATCCTTCATAAAATACCAAAACAAAAACACAGAATGATGTATTCCATAATACTGTACAGTAGCATCAACTAGCTGTTGATAACAATTTACAATAAATGTGGATGCTTGTAAATCTTAAGCATTTAAAAAAGATCAAACTTTTGCCAAGTAGACTTCATTCCCATATTGAATTCTACAGGCAAAAAGTGTTTTCTTTTCTTTTAGTCTTACAATGAGATCAAATTAGATCAAATTAGCAAGATACCATTGAGACATCAGACATCCATCTTGATATTTCCTCAATCACATGCAAAATGCTTTAGGCTACTGTAAGTTCATGTTTGTTTCAGCAATTAACTTTGTATCAGTCCTGCTTTTGGTCCGCTAACCATGCTGCTTTTGAGTCACAAAATAATAAAAAGTAGACCTCCTGATTATTAGCTCAACTCCTTTCCAAAAACCTTAAAACAATTCAGCATTATTATAAAATATAAGAAGTCATAAACCTAACAGCAGAAGATGGAAACACTTTTAAAAACCAAGATTCTTACCTGTGAAAGCCAGAGAGACTATCCATAGTAAAGCGAAAATATCCATTGTTGGAACTCTGTGAGATATCAAATGCAGAGGAAATGTCAGCCATCAAACTTTGACTGTCCTGATAAATGTGAGCCTCTTGCCGTTCTCAACATATCAGTGAGTAAAAGCAGAACTACCTTCGTGTTGAGGTACAAAGTGTCTGCATAATGAGTCAAACCCAGTGAAGCTGCAGACATGTCCTAAAGCTGCAAGACATCGCCCTCTAGTGGTGTAAATATGTTTGCACGCCATATTGATGGTTGATAAAGAGACGTGAATACTACTGTGGTATTAATAATCAGACAACAGCTGATTTACATACTGTTTTTACTATGCCTATATTTACTTTAGGCAACACTTTGTACATAACCACTTACGGCATATTTGTTTATCAATAATAATATGCATGAAAGAAACTAAGTTATATGTATATAGATCTATCAATTTTGCTGCAAAGAAAACTTGAAATGATATAACAGCAATTCCACATGACAGTTATGGCAAACTACATGAATATTGTTCCCATTTAAAGATCATTATAATACATTCACAGGGCATGTATAATATTTCCATTTCATGTAGTATTCCGGCCATACAAAATAAGAGCCTTGGTTTTAAACATTCATGCTGTAAAAACACAAAAAGCTTTACCGTCTAATATTTAAAAAAACTACTTTTTATTTCTCAGAATTCTGACTTTAAAGCCAGAATTCTGAATTCTTTCTCACAATTCAAATAAATAAAGAAATCCCTTTTTTCCAGATGAAAAAAAAATCTGATTAAATTAAAGAAAGAAAAACAGGATGTTAAGCACACATCTGCGCAAATAAATACATACATATGTTAGATTTGTCTGCTTGCTTTTTATGTTTATTTGCATTTAAGAATTCTGTATAGGAGGATATTGAGTCTGTGAAATTATAAAGTAAAAAAGTGGTAACAAATTTTGAATAATCTAAACAATACATTTCAATTTAATTTTGTGGCATAAAACATTAGACAGGATAAATGAAAAGATAGACCTGCAGGTTGCGCAATAGATCAGTGAAGAAATTGTCTAATTTGACCCTTTTCATGGCAACATGCTAACAGTTTAGATGTTTGACACATTTGGTTTGATTCAACAGCACCATGGTGTTATTTGGACATCATACTAATTCATTATAAAGGACCTTTGAAAAGATGCTTGTTGCTTACTCTGTAAAGGATCAACAGTATAGGTAAATAACCTTACAGAGGCATTACAATGGGAAAACCCCGCCTACACACTACTTCCTTGTTTTACCTTCATATATTGAAATCAGCATTCTTTAATCTGAAAGGCAAGATGAAGGAGTGTGATCTCTTTTCTATGATTTGATGATATTACAGAACAAAATGGAAGTAGCTGTGATACACTTCATCATCCTGGGAGTCCTCTCCGGTGAGCTCTTACCGTGTAATACTCTTCAGCAGCTAAAAGTGTTAGGTCATCAAAGTTTAACCATCAATCATTGGTCAGTCAGTTTCTCTCTCAGTTGACAGAAGTGTCCCTGTTGTTTAAATCTAATGTCTATAACGGGTTTAGAACCCAAACCTGCTGTGAAACCTGGTTAGTCATTTGAAGATCAGCTTAACTTAATTCAGATGTTTTATTAATGTTTGCAGTTTAAGAAATATTTTAAAACTATAACAGAACATTGAAAACAGTCATTAGGTTTGTTGTACCAAGAGGACCTGGATTTGAATTCGTTAGAGAGAACCGATATGATCTTGTCTGCAGCTGTATTGTGTTTTGAATGATTTCTAAAGTGGGTCCCTCTGTCTGTCTCTCTCCAGGTTTAACTGAAGGAGCTGGTGTGCTGCCAGACCGTCTGAACGCAGCTGTGGGAGGGAAAGTGATGTTCACCACAACACTGACTCCAGGAACAACTTTTCTATCAGTGAACTGGAAATTTGGTGCTAAAGATATATTTACTTGGAATGTTAACAACTTCCCTGCACCAGGGTATGAAGACAGGATCACCTTCTTCTTGTCTACTGGATCTCTGGAGCTCAGGAACCTGGCTCTAACTGACAGTGGAGAATACTCAGTTACCATTGTACCACCAGGAGAACGACCACAGCCAGGGATCACAAGACTGGACGTATACGGTAAGAAAAGTTACCATTTTACTAATTTTACAGAGATCACAAGACTGAATGTTGAAGGTAAGACACAATTCTTACATGTTGCGTATCTTTCTCTGCTGAATGAAGATTTTGCGTAGCGATTGATTAAGTAAACAATGATATAAGGCTTTTTCTTCTTTGCACCATCATCTAATAAAAATATAGAAAATGTTCATATTTTCGGTGGAATGAACGTGTATAAACTTTCACTGTGGAGCCATTAATAATCAATATCTCATCTTAAACATGAGACTCACTCCCAGCCATTTCAGTATTTATCTTATACAGTAACTTTATAAAATGTTTTGTTTTTTTAACCCACAGAGCCAGTCTCCAATGTAACGGTAACCTCCAGCAGCACAGAGCTGGTGGAGTTCAGCTCTGTCAGTCTGTCCTGCTCCTCCTCTGGATCCTCTCTCTCTTTCCTCTGGCTGAACAGCAGCTCTGAGGTTACAGGAAGTGACAGAGTTCAGATCACTGATGGAGGATCCACTCTAACTATAATTAATGTGACCCGCTACGACCAGGGACCATTCAGGTGTCGTGTTTCTAATCCTGTCAGTGAGGGAACCAGTGATCCAGTAACCCTCACCATCTACTGTGAGTAACTCATATGTGCATACATGTTATTCTGCACATTGCTTTAAAGTTGATGGTATCATGAGGCTTCACACTGAGCTAAGTGGTCACGTAACATTGTCTTTAAGATGCCAGCATTACTTTAATGCATTTCTTTACTCCCCGTATGCCACATAGATGGTCCAGAAAAAACGCATTTGAAGTAAACCCCCTGTGTTTTCCACCCACAGCACCAGTTACCAATGTTGTGGTAACTTCAGAACCAACAGAGCTGGTGGAGTTCAGCTCCGTCAGTCTGTCCTGCTCCTCCTCTGGATCTTCTCTCTCTTTCCTCTGGCTGAACAGCAGCTCTGAGGTTACAGGAAGTGACAGAGTTCAGATCACTGATGGAGGATTCACTTTAACTATAGTTAATGTGACGCGCTACGACCAGGGACCATTCAGGTGTCGTGTTTCTAATCCTGTCAGTGAGGGAACCAGTGATCCAGTAAACCTCACCATCTACTGTGAGTCACTTCTCCACTGAGTTGATGAACAATATGATCATTTTAATGGTATTTCCATAAATTGTGATCAACAATATATTACATATTTGTTACTTTGAGTTTGAAGATTTATTTGGTGTACATCTAACGTCTCGTTTTCAACAAATGCTAAATATGTACAAACAGACAATGAATTCAGTTGTATACTTTCTAGATTAGCCAAATTGAACTTCATCATAATGAAAGTGTATCATAAAGAACTAACATTAAAAATTACAGTCTGAAAAAACAGATTATTAAATCAATGCCAGTTTGACAAAACATTAACAAAAACTGAAATGAAAGTCCCCTCTCTTGTGCATGGCATTTCTAAAATCCTTCAAATAAACGTTTTGGTCCTTGAACCATTGTCATAAGATAATAAGTAAAAACAATTTGTTGGCAATATGCAGCCATGAATATGAATGATCTCAACTTGATCATGAGGTTTATTCCCAGCCACTGCAGTGTTATATTCTCCTGCAGCTTTAAACATTGTTTTTGTTTTGTAACCCACAGCACCAGTCTCCAATGTAACGGTAACCTCCAGCAGCACAGAGCTGGTGGAGTTCAACAGCTCCGTCAGTCTGTCCTGCTCCTCCTCTGGATCCCCTCTCTCTTTCCTCTGGCTGAACAGCAGCTCTGAGGTTACAGGAAGTGACAGAGTTCAGATCACTGATGGAGGATCCACTTTAACTATAGTTAATGTGATGCGCTACGACCAGGGACCATTCAGGTGTCGTGTTTCTAATCCTGTCAGTGAGGGAACCAGTGATCCAGTAACCCTCACCATCTACTGTGAGTTACTCACCTGCATGCTCAGTATATTTACCTAAAAAGATAAACCTTGTTTAGTTTTATTCACGCATTGAGTATTAAATAATACAACAAATATCCTTGTATATGTATAACAATGCAGTTGTGAATACTAACTTTTTGCTGCTAAATTCAGATGGCCCAGAAAATACTATTTTGACAATATCTCCGCCCAAAGAACACCATCAGGAAGGATCAGACATCAGCCTGTCCTGCTCAGCTGACTCCAAACCTTCTGCTGCTTTCAAGTGGTTTCTGAATGGAGACCTGCTGTCTGATGGACCAGAGCTCAGTCTGATGAACGTTCAGATGAATCAAAGTGGAAGCTACAGCTGTCAGGCCTTCAACGAGAAAACTCTGAGATATGAGACGTCTACGCCTTCATCCATCTCTGTACTGAGTAAGTTTGCATTGAAAGGTTTAATGCATACAGATGTGATAAGAAAGGTTTACTCAAATCTCTTTTCCTTATAACATATCAGTTAAAAAAAGGAACCTTTGTTTAACTTAAAGCAATAAACTCCTACTATTGTGTGTATTTTGAGACTAATATAGATACAAGTACAATAAATCATACTTTAGCAAGATCATATGCTTGATATGTTCTGGATGTGTTTCCTACATTTTTAATAACAACAGGTAAATACATTTAAATAGTTTTTATTTCTTTAATCTTTGAATCCATTACATTCGAACAAATGGAAAGAAAAGTACCTGAAAAAGTTTGATTCCTTTAACTCCCACTGTTTTGATTCAGTTGTAAAATAAATCCTACAATTAATGAAGACGTTTTCTGTTTCTGTCAGTCAGTGTAGAAACTGACAAACTATCTTCCTAAGAATATAGTTATATATATATATATATATATATATATATATATATACAATATATAAATATTGTATAGTTATAGAGTATAGATGATATTTCTGAGCGATAGGTTGTCCAAAACAATGCATTTAAAAAAGACTGTTGGCAGTCAGACACTCAGCATGTTACGTATATATTCAGGGGGAAGTAGAACAATGTTTGCATTTTATAAAGAGGAACTGTTCCTTTTATATTTATTAACTCAGGCATTAAATCAACTTCTTTTGTTCCTGCTTTTATATCTTCACGTGATCTGTTGCCCAACAGAGAAAGTATCCGGCGCTTCTGTCACATCTCCATCAAACCTGCCGATTGAGGGGAACTCTTTCAGATTAATCTGTGACGCTGCTGGCTCTGTCTTTACCAGAGAGTGGAGAAAGGGAGGCTTAGATCTGACTCCGACTGTAAACATGACCCTCACCAACAACAGCAGAGAGCTGTCTTTTAGCAGTCTGAGTAAAGACGACACAGGAGATTATTCCTGTATTATCAGCAACCCCCTCAGCAGCGAGGAAGCAAACTACTCCATGATAGTTAACTGTAGGTAACAAACTATAACTCCACTGTTCACAATGATACGTTCAGATTATTGAGGAACTATTGAACACGTTTTATATTCTTCCAAATATCTGTTTTCCAGACGGACCAGAAACAGTTCAAATCACAGGTCAAAGTCAGATACATGTGGGAGGCACATTTAAATTAACCTGCTGGGTTGCATCTGTACCAACTGCCAATTACACCTGGATGCCGAACACCGGGGCGATAATCAATTCTGCTGTGATTTATAGAAACAACACTGAACTCTCTGACAGTGGGAACTACTCCTGTGAAGCGAGGAATTATATAACCGGGAGAACATCATCAGCAGTCCATGAACTGACCGTAACATATACAGGTAGCGAGATAGTAGTAAGAGTACATTCAAATCAGAAGGAACACATCTTAGCGGGCTCCAACAAATCATTATCATTATTATAAAACCGGCACCTGTATAATCAGAATTAAGGAACATCTCTCAAAATCTTAAACTCAAATCAAACAATCAACATGTTGTTCTAATCTGTAGAAGTGCTTATGATTTTATCTATTTAAATTCTCTGTGCCTGTGAGCTTTTGTTTGCTCTTACAGTATGTGTTTATTTGTGCCTTTTATCCACAGGGATGATGAGATGAAGAGACAGTTCCCGTTTACAGAATGATGTAAAAGTCATGTTTTATCTCCTGTTTTATTTTAGCACCACCAGGCTGTTCGGGTGGTTGCATCGCTGGAATAGTAATCGCTGTTTTAGTCGTCATTGGAGCTGTCGGTGGAGGGTACTACGTTTATAACACAAAGTAAGTTGAAACATCTAAACTGCAGTCTGTGTAATCAAAAGTAACAGTTTGAATTGAGTGGATCTGTTTGCATGTCTGTATTTTATCATTGCTTTTTAGAAAACAACAACAAAGCAGTAACACAATCAGAAACAACAACAAAGCTGAACCACAATCTGATATTAAAGGTTAGTAATCATGTGATCAAATTGTACATTATGTATTCAAAATAAGATGTATTAACACTTTTCTTTCCTCCTAGAACTAGAAGAGGCTGTGTATGTGAACACTTCAGCGATATACGAGAGTGTATAGACTCAGCCGTCTTCTTTGTGCTAAAGGTACGTTTTAAGATATATTATATATGTTCAAAGGTTTCTGTAGAAATATTTAACTTAGTTAATCTGAAGGAACCACTATAGAACCACATTATCAGAGCACTCATTCTAACATACACTTGATCAAAGCTCTTTGACACTTCCCTCTTTTCACTTCTCGTCCAACAGGCCGTTCAGAGGAAGAAGAGCTTCACAACATAAAGACAAAGCGGCTCTGAAATGTTATCACATTATTATTTTAAATGCTTTTTCTAATGTGTCAGCAAACACTACATTTATAGTGCAGTAATACCATGAATTTCACATTTTAAAGGTCAGCTATTATGCAAAATCCTCTTCTTCATGTCTCTTCTACATCAACATCTGTCCCCTCTTCTTCATGTCTCTTCTACATCAACATGTGTCCCCTCTTCTTCATGTCTCTTCTACATCAACATGTGTCCCCTCTTCTTCATGTCTCTTCTACATCAACATGTGTCCCCTCTTCTTCATGTCTCTTCTACATCAACATGTGTCCCCTCTTCTTCATGTCTCTTCTACATCAACATGTGTCCCCTCTTCTTCATGTCTCTTCTACATCAACATGTGTCCCCTCTTCTTCATGTCTCTTCTACATCAACATGTGTCCCCTCTTCTTCATGTCTCTTCTACATCAACATGTGTCCCCTCTTCTTCATGTCTCTTCTTCATCAACATGTGTCCCCTCTTCTTCATGTCTCTTCTACATCAACATGTGTCCCCTCTTCTTCATGTTTTTTCTACATCAACATGTGTCCCCTCTTCTTCATGTCTCTTCTACATCAACATGTGTCCCCTCTGTGTAAAGAGACTCTGAAAGTTTCAGGAACAAAGATTCTCTCTCTTTTTGATCCATTTCTATAAAAACCTGTCTGAAAATGAGCTGATCAGATTTTGGCCACTTTATGATGTTGTAACGATTTGTTGGCTTGTGTAACCATTAGCCAATCAGCAACCAATGTAACCCCACCCCCCCACCTTATCACCTGAATCTCCTCCTAGAGCTCCATTGAGTTCTTTCTAACCAAATGTCTCTCAGAGGGGCGTGGGGAGGGGCTCCTTATTTTCATCTAAAGTCACAGACACAGAATCAGCGCTTTTGAAACAGGGCTGAAACAGAGGGGATTATGGGATGCTACAATGATCTGTTTGGTGTTTGGAACCAAACACTTCAGACATGTTCGGGATATATCTGAGACCTATGATATGTTGATGAAAAACAGTCAAATACGGGACCTTTAATGTAAACTAAACGACGTGGTGAAACTAGTTAGATAGATAAGTGTGTTCATGTTTAGTTTAATATCTGGTGTTAAGTCCACTCTAACGAAAACATTGTTGCAGAAAATGACGTTTTCACTTTTTTACCTCATCAATGATAAGCATTGTTTGTTTATGAAGTTGAGTTGAGAGGCTAACTGCTAAAATAGCTAACGCCATTGTAAAAACAGACAACACAATTTCTGGAAACTACGACGTGTCCTGAGAATCTGAGGTCCGCCCCAAACCTGGGTTCATTCAAATCACTTCAGCACTCCTTACAGCATTATGTGTATTTACAATTTCTCTGTTTAACTAATTTCTATCTCTTTTATGAATTGTCTTTTTGCTCGATTTATTTTGTTTTACAATTTATTTCAGTTTTTGTAAAGCACTTTGAATCGCCTTCGTGTCTGAAATGTGCTATATAAATAAACTAACCTTTATCTTAACAAAGCATTATGGTAAGTTGAGAACTATGCAACCTTACAACTAATGCAAAATAACAACAGTGACATCGAGTGGTGGATCAGTCGACTACAACAGAGAAACATTTCCATTTGTGAATTTTAAATATGTCAGAGCGGCTGGTATCAACCCTAATTGAAGTTTTTTTTTAAAGGATGTAAGGACCAGTATGAATGAATAAATAAATGTCTGAATGTTTCAGCTAAGGTTCGACAAATCTTTAATTTCTTGTTTAAGATTCAGCTCTTTTCTAATGGCCTTTTTTGTTTTTGTCTTCTGTGTTTTTTTTTAATGTTTATTTGTACTAAGAATGTTGTATTGAAAAGGTATTGAGAGGGAATTTGAGTCCATTAATTCAGTAGAAGAACAGTGGTAACAGAAAATATGTCAGAATAACATTTCAACCGAAGGTTGTGGCAATTTTTCATTTCAATCTTAAACTGGTAGTTGATAGCACTAGAGACAAAGTCAATAGATCAGTGATGTCATTGTATCATTCGTCACATTTAAGTTTAGATATTTGACCATTCAACCACACAGTAGGGCCAGAAGATTAATCAGAAGATTGTCACATTTTAAGTTTATAGCAACCAATCAAACAGTTTTTTAAATATCTCAGTCCCAATCAAAGTCAGACATTGCCATAGCATAGACCAGGGGTACTCAAATACAAATCTTAAAGGTCCAAAATAAATGTTTCAATAAGACAAAGGTCCGTTTATTACGGTCATTCAAACTTTTAAACAATTGCAACAAGATTCTTAACACGAGGTTGCAAAAATAAAGGCAGCTGCACCCTCTTTCATTCAGCGTTCCCATTATTGCTTTATAAATGTCTTCCCCCCCTTCTGTGTCCACTGAGGTTCGTCAGGCCCAACACATCTTCAACAAACTCCCCCTTTGCCTCATCATAAAAACTCACAAACACCAGCAACTGAGCATTGTCAGTGGTGTCAGTGGACTCACCCACAGCTAAGGAAATGCACTGTGCATTTTTTATTCCATCACAAAGCTGATTAATCAAATCACCAGCCAGTATTTCTGTTCTTCTGGTTGCTGTGGAATCTGAGAGGGGGATTTGCTTGATTTTACCTGTTATTTCCTCTTTTTGTTTGCCTTCAACATGGTCTCCATCACTTCAGTCATGCATTCTTTTATACTTCAGTTATTATCCAGTGGAAAGTCCTTACCTACTGGCCTAGTTCAATCAAAGTGGTTACTTTTTTTTGGCTGGGCAGTGTAGTTTTACACACCGTCTGATTTGACTTTCTCAGGACTTAAAACAGTTTTTTGGGGACATAAGAAAAAGAAGAAAAGAACAAAATATATTTACACACGTAAGGTCATCATCTTAATAGTTTTGTATGCTCATCCGTGAGCAGAGCATCAAGTTGACATGTCTATTACAGCTGAATGCGGCGATTACCATTTTGTTCAGCAAAACGCCTCACAAACGTATTAAGATCAACAGCTTCAGTGCGTTTTGATTCAATGCTGAGTACAGCCAAACTGACAGTCTCTTCTCTGTCAGTGTAGACCGCAAATACCTCATTCCTTCAGTGCTTGGGTCCGAATGCTTCTCGTTTTGCGCCGTCCCGTTCAAATGAATTCGCCGCCAATCATATGTCCACGCTCGCGCCAGGACCGGGGGAGGGGTTACATGACGTGCATCTTGTGCTGCATTCACTTGCACTCGGACATTAGAGATTTTCTCTCATAAATGTCCGATGAGCCACAACTTTTCTTTCAAAACAAAGCTGCCAACTGGGGTGGCAGCTGGGGTGGCAAGGCCTATTTTTAGGGTGTCAGTTGCCACCCCGGTAGGTGAAACTAGGCTACTAACTACAGTACAGATGGCACTAGATGAGCTGTTAGTTCTCGCTCTGAATTTTTTTTTTTTAAACTCTCGCTCTGATTCAGACAGGTTGAAAGAGACGAGACACACATTTTTCCCACCCACATTCCGCGAAGACCCGCCCTACTGTGCCTCTGATTCGCAGATTGTTTGGGGAGAAAAAACGCTGACTGGATGCTGAATGTGATTGGACCAATGCGTTGACAGACACACACAGACAGTGGAACAGGACATGCAGAGCGCTGTTTGCAGTCTATGGACATAGCGGATCATTTGCGTTGTGGCGATGTCTCGCAGATAACACAGATAATACAGATTATACATATGAAAAGTATAATTTGCTCAGAGTCCAGAGACAGTTGTGGTTCGGTCCGGATCCGGACCGGAGTCCGGACTTTGAGGATGCCTGGCATAGACCCTCTACAACTCAGACCGGAAGTACCTGACAAAAATATATTAATCACCACTATTTAACACATGTCTGGTCATTGGAAATATAAAAACAATCATTAATTGTACATCTGTAAACATCTGGTCATTAAATTCAAAGTTCATCTTTGTACAAGAGCTGGAAAAACATGTCCTCCTGACTTGTTCTCCTCCTCCCTTTATGACATGTATGCCCAATCCCAAACCACTCCCTCGACCCTACCCCTCCGTGACGGAGTGAACTCCGTCTGTAGCCACACTCGCAGCTCAACGAGGCTCCTTCTTGTCAGATGGAGGGAGTAAATACAGCAGCAAGCTTTGGGACGGCCCCCCCCTCTCCGGCAGAAACAGGAAATGCCGTAACTGTATGTAACAATGGTTTCATATCAGCATCTCTTAGACAAAAAATGTAAATTAATAACTCAAATAAAACTCCAAACATCTTTCACTCCCCCTCCACACCTCTCCACACTCGTTGGTTTGGAACAGCCCTCAATATGGTGGACCCTCCGTGTGAACGCGCAAACGGAGGGGTAGGGTGTAGGGGGCGGTTTGGGAATGGGCCTGAGTGTCTGGTGTGTAAAGGTATCCTCATACTGTAGATTAGCACTGAGGGGCTGATTGACTCAAACTCTTCTTCATCAGAGCACCATATTTTAACCCCCCAATTGCTCTGTTTTTATGTGGCTCATTCAGTGAGTCTAGTTGATCCACCCAGTGAAACGGAAGCTCATCTGCCTGCATTCCTTCTGCTATCTGTTGAGAGCAGTGCAACTGCGTATTCCTAGTGATGCATCCAGGTGTCCCCACCGTGATAGGAGAGGTTAGGAAGACATCAAACTGCTCCAAGAAACACGGAAACTTGTATTATAGAAGCCTCTGAAGCCCTAGGTCGTCCTGCAGGGTTGTCTGCCTGAGCCCACCGAGCAGACAGGTGAAGAGAAGAACCCCCTCTTATCAGAAAGGTGAAGAGAAAGATCCTCTCATCTCGAACGACCTCGTGCTTCCTTGCAGGTGGCTCGGTGCTCTCTGCACCCGAAGAATGTGACCCTCTCTCTGTGACCCTTGTCCTTGAGCTGTCCTAGTTATCGGGTTAACACCTGATAGGGATGTTTTCTGAGAGATGACAACTCAAAGCAATGGATTAGCACATTATTATTTAATTACAAAAATAGGATAGGCCCCTCAGATTGCTTTGGGAGCCTTCCTGACACATGCACATTACCATTTTTGAAGGTTTGTGTTAGTCATTTAACATGCAAGAATCATTAGATTAGTGTCAACTAATTATTGCAGCTCTATTGTCCATATACGAATTTAGTGTAACAAAAAGGAATAAGACAACAATATAAACATATTCTGAAAATATTATCTGCCAGATGTAGGCCTACTTAAAGTATTGAAAGTAGACATTATGGTTTATTGTTAAAAAAAAATTAATAATACATGTTGTATTTGTACTGTAGCAACTTTTCAAACCCACTTTACAAAGTGCTTCACAAAATATTCAATAATTCAATAAAATGACACTTAAATAAATCATGCATCCTATTTGTTACTGTATATATTGTTTGTTTGTAAAGTGAAACATGGACAGCTTAAGAAGCAGTTTTTAGTTAGAAGTGTTTCTTTGTTGAATAGAAAAAAGATTCCATGTTTAAAAGAGGTACTTCACATTTATTTTACATAACACAACAACATTCCAAATATAAAATGATAACATTGACACAATCTGTGTTTCTCTGTCTTTAATATAACAACAAAATAAACATAATTGCTATTCAGCATAAAATAATATTCCCTAATAGATGTGTGTGCATTAACTGATGTTAGTGTTACAATTCCACAATAAGACTGAGACTTATTTTTAAAATAAACACCATCTCCCAACGTGCATTGCGGCTAAACCATCCAATCACCGAGCTGAGGATCTTGCCTACGTCTGTTTCCGGTATTTGTTTATGACGATGTGATGTGAGATGTGAGACTGGGTTGGAGAATTGCACAGGGGAAAATAACATATCTATGCCACAATTGTAGATGCAGATTTTGTTAAACTAATACGTTTGCGCTGTGGACCAACACTATAAATTGACGGGGAAGGGGGTAGCAATAAAGATAACACCATTAAACAGTTACACAACATAACAGAAATAATATCGATAGCAGTGTCCCTAGCAACCACCTTGGTGACAATGAACACATTGTATGTACACAATTTTCTGAAGTAACCTTCGTAATAACTAGCAAACTAAAGATCATGTACATCCACTGCACACATCATCTGAAATAACAACTCATATTTCTCACATCAAATGATATCAAACCGCATTTTAATGGCCAAACTAACCTTAAAATAGGCATTTTACACCGAGAATACAACGAAGGTCGGCCATGTTTTTTTTTGTATGCAGAGAGAAATGTGAAGATCACGCGACATAGACGCCAGCCATTGGAAATGAATGGTGACAAAAAACGTAGGGATCTTACAATTTCAGTGGCGTTTTTGTAGAAATACTACGTCCCAATTTGTGGACCAACGTAGTTATTACACGTTTAGATGTGAGATTGGGTTGATCTGCCAGGTGTCCTTTGGCACTCCGGTTACAGAACACAGTGATTCAGAACATCTGCTGGACAAGTGAAAACCTGAATGTTGTTTTCTCACAAGCTTTACAATACGCTAATAACGGGAAGGGCTGCATTGTGTGGAACTGGTTCTAAATGTCATGATTTAAAGGTTAGGATGATTAAATCTGAGCTCCATCAAGACCTGACATACCTGTGAAAGAAACACTTCACACGCAAAGACTGGAGTCTAGACAGCTGCTGAAAGAAGAGATTTAGATGTGCAGCATTAGCACGAGGCAGAAACCAACCTTTAAACCTGTATTTGTGCAGAGAAAGACACTTTAAAGGTGCAGGGAGGACAGATTAGTTTAAATGTGATATTCAGAAGTGAACACAAGTGAGTGGTGAGATGTCACAGGTTCTCTGTGCAGGCAGAGCATCCAATGCAGGGGTGGCTTACCGTGTTCATCATGGACCTGGAGTCTTGGTGCATTACAGCACGGTTCCTGCAGCCGGGGCGCCGGACAACAGCCTGAGCTTCTGTTTGTCCACAGAGAGGCTCAGCATGCAGCAGCTCAACAGGAGGCTGGCCTCGTACCTGCAGCAGGTAGGAGACGCATGAAATGAACATAAAACAAAATGTCTCCTAAGATGCTTCAGCTGCAGCACAGAAACACTACTATTTAACTGCAGCTATGGAGCTTTGTACTGATCTAAGTTGTATGATTATTTCTACATATATGTGCATCAACTTTTTATTCTTTGATGCTTCAGGTGGAAATATTCCAAAACCTTCCCACTCTTCTCTCCAATGTATCTCGCAGCAGCAATAACGCCACTATAACCATTAGGATTTATAAGTGTTTTTTTAAATTATTGTTTTAAAGGGGAAGGATAAAATACAATTAGCAATTTCTCAACAGACTTCTTCTTTGACTGAGCACCGAATGTTGGAGCTTGGCTCACAGCAACACAGGTTATGCCCTATTTATTTGGGTGTTTACATTTTAGAAATGATGGGGGATTAATAATATTTCTCCACGATATTTTTTCCTTTTGAATTTAAGCTTGAAGTTTCCTGTGAAGAACTGTGTAGGCCTAATAGGTTATTAGCTGAAGTACACATATGTAAATTAAATCAAAAAAATCTTTCCATTCTGCAACTTAATTTTTGTCCTTCATTGGATTCCACAGGGCTGTGATATTTGTACTGTATGTAGAGTGATGAATAACAACTTCGATTTGTTTTTTAAATATTACATAACATTGCTTTTCACCTCCGATTGGTGGATGCAGGTCCAGAGTCTGGAGGTGGCCAATCAGAGGCTGGAGTGTCAAATCCAGGAGGAGCTGGACAGGAAGTGTCCCCAAGAACTGAGACAGCTGGACGGACACCTGAAGGCAGTGTCCCTGCTGCAGGGACAGGTGACACAGAGAAACACTAATGATCCAATTAAATAACAATTACAGCAATCTGATCTAATCAATTAACTACCATAAGAAACCCAAAACAACGAAATACAAAATAAATAATAATGTTAATAATAATAATGATGATGATAATAATAATAATAATGATGTTGATTTACTGACAATACAATAAAAAGTAAAGTAAGTAAAAAAATAAGAAAAAAGTAAAGAAAATATGGTAAAATATTTTTAAAATAATAATATGGAATCAAATAAAATAACAAGACAACAACTAGATGAAGGCCAAATAAAGACAAGTTAAGGCTAAATATAGGCCAGATATAAATATAATATTGATCAGATAAAAAAAGGCAAATAACGACCAAATAAAAGCAACTTCAATTCAAGTAAAAGGCTAAATAAAGTACATAGAACGATGAGAGAATGACCAGATAAAAGAAAAATATAGACTGATTACAGGCAAGAAGAAAGGTCAAATAAAAACCAGATGAATGCCAAAAAAAGCCAAAGTAAAAAAAACAAAAAAACAGATAAAGACTAAAGAAAGATAAAATAAGGACCTAATATAGTCCATTCAAAAGCCACTCAAAATAAATTGAAACAAATTACAATCAGTAAATGCCAAGTAAAAATCTGTTTGAATGAAGTAAATGCCAAAGTCGGGCCTGTTGCAGCTTGCAGGGGAATGTAGGTTTAGCATCTTCCTCCGGCGCCGACTCTTCAGGAAATGTTGCTTCTGCTTAAAGGTTAGACAGGTTGAGACGAGTCTGACTATAAAATGTCACGATTCAAAAGTCAGAGATTAAACTTGAACTTCAACATGATCTGATCATTTATCAAAGAACATCCTGAATAGGTGGGGTGAGTGTGAGAAGTGTTTCATTGGATAGTGCCCTCCACAAGCCTGAGGCAGTATTCATCACTTATATATTCTAGTAACTTTCCCATCATAAATAAAAGTCACCTTCATCAACTTTTTTTGATCATCTTGACCCATATTTACCACAGTTTTATAACTTTGGTAGCAAATAAACCACGAATAGCGGTTATCCTTTTTCAAGCAACAATTGAACATATCAGACATCATCATCATCGGCCCCCCATCCCGTATCAAAGACATCCAGAATTTCAACTTCACCATTGACAGCCACACTCTATCTCCCCCCCCTCACATCCGCAACCTCGGAGTCATCTTCGACAGTCAGCTCAAATTCAACCACCACATCAATCACATCACCAGGACCGCCTTTTTCCACCTCAAAAACATTGCCCGTCTCCGCCCATCACTCTCCTCCTCTGCTGCTGAAACCCTGATTCATACATTCATCACTTCACGACTCGACTACTGCAATAGCATCCTCTACGGCATACCATCCAACCTCCTCAATAAACTCCAACATATCCAGAACTCTGCTGCCCGCCTCCTCACCCACACCCGCTCCCGAGACCACATCACTCCCGTCCTCCAGAACCTCCACTGGCTCCCCGTCCGTCAAATAATCAACTTCAAAGTCCTCCTGATTACTCACAAAGCCCTCAACAATCAGCCCCCCCCCCCCCTACCTCACAGTCCTGCTGCACCACCACACCCCTTCCCTCTGCCTCTGCTCATCAGAAGCCAACCTCCTATCCATCCCCACCCGCATCAATCACCGGACCTGGGGGGACAGAGCCTTCTCCGTCGCTGCCCCCTCCCTCTGGAACTCACTCCCACAACCCATCAGAGACTGCACTGACCTCACCACCTTCAAAGAACTTACAAAAACTCACCTCTTCAATCTGGCTTTTAATGTGTGATTGTTTTTGTATTATTTGACTTTAACTTTATATTTATTTGTTGTTCCTTTATTTTATTTTATCTTCACTATATCTGTAAAGCGTCTTTGAGCACCTGTAAAAGCGCTAACAAATTAAATCTATTATTATTATTATTATTATTATATGTATTAATTATCCACTTCACGTATTAATCCCCTTATTAATAAGACAAACTTCTTCAAATCTGATGTCTGTAAGTCACCAGTCACCACGCACGCTGACTTTAATTCTACTGTAACTATAGTTCTTGTCACAAACGAGCTGAGAACCAAAATGCAAAACACGGGAAACCAGGAATAGTCGGTAACCAGCTTGATTATAGGCAAAGGGCTGGTCGGGGACAAACTGGAAGGCAGTAGGCAAAGGGCTGGTCGGGGACAGGCGAAGGTTCCAGGAGTAAGCAAGACGGGAGATGCAGGTACAGGCAGGGTCAGGGAGCAGACAAGGCAAAATAATCCAGGGACAGGCAGGGTCAGGAAACAGGCGAGGCAGGCTGGTCAGAGGCAGACGAGGTCGAAACCGGGAGAGCAATCTGGAAGGAAATGCGGGAAAGACTGGCATGCTGCGAAGTACGATCTGGCACTGAGGTGAGAGTGAAGTGGGCCGAAATACTAATGGAGCTGATGGGTGTAACAGAGTGAGAGAGAGAAACAGGGTGTGACTACCAGGTGACTAAGAAATGCTAATGCAGAAAATAGGTGAGTGAGGGAGCAGACTGTGACAGTTCTAGTTTTCGCCAACAGAGGACAGAGTCAAGGCGATGCTCAGTATCATGAATTGGCTTTAAAGTCCCAATTCAATCTAGTATGTCCTCAAGTCAATACCAACAAGTCAGAAAGTCATGTCCAAAATCAGGAACAATTCCCCAAATCAGGTCCCAAGCAACACATAAACATCGCAAATTAAGACCAACAAATCAAGTCAGCGAGTTCCAAATAAGTCCCAAATCATGAAAAGCAAGTCAAGAAAGAAAGTCTCAAATTATTATTATAACTAGTATTTATTTCCAACAAATCTAAAAACACTTGAGTCGAGAGCAATACGTCTGAAAGTCCAGACAGCAAGTCCCAAATAAACACAGTCCAAAATGATTTCCCATATTCCCAAACTCATTCTAACCTGACCTTTGCAGGCCCCAAATCAGTAACAATAAACCAAAATCAGGTCCCAAGCTAAAAAAACGTTGAACTTAAGACCAAAATGTCCTTAGTCAAGATAGCGAGTTCCAAAATAGATCCAAATCATGACAAAAAAGTCACAAGTCAAGACATCCAAGTAGACCATCTCCAGTCTAATAAGTCCCAAGTCAAAGCAAACCCTGCTTTTTGTTTATTTGACTAAGCATGGGAGCATCATTTCTAATAACAGTCCCAAATTCCAAAGTCATGAAAAAAAACTTCTAAAATGACCTGTGAGTTCTTAAGCTGCCTTCACATGATGTGCAATTTGCTCTTTGCTTACTGCTAGGTTGGGCGCAGAGCCTTGCAGTGAAAACAACTCTTTAAAGGTCACCTATTATGCAAAATCCAAATGTTCATGTCTGTTATACATGATTAAGTGTCCCTTCTGTGTAAAGACATTAGAAAAGTTTCAGAAAAAATATTATCTCTCTTTCTGTCTGAAAATGAGCTGATCAGATTTTGGCCACTTTGTGATTATTATTATGTAACCATTAGCCAATCACCAACCAAGGTAACCCCCGCCCACCTTATCACCTGAATCTCCTCCTAGAGCAGGGGTTCTCAAAGTGCGGCCCGCGGGCCAATGGCGGCCCTCGGAAATGTTTCTGGTGGCCCGCGATAGTTAATGTGACACGCTGAAATGCATGCGTTATATTTTAATCCTCCATGGTTCGTATCTAGTAAGAATTAGAATGGAATTTAAGAATGGTAAAACTGCGCCCCCTGGGTTGTCATTCCTAAATTATGAATGACAGCTTGTGGAAAGTTTGCTAGACTACTGGTTGCATGGCAACTAGGCATCTCGCGAGTTGCGGTAATTGGTTAGTACAATAAAGAAAGGATTTGTTTTGGAATTATTTTGTGTTCCGTTTTTTCTTGGGCGGCCCTCAATCCAATATTGGGTACCTAAATTAGCCCTCACTCATCAAAACTTTGAGAACCCCTGTCCTAGAGCAACAATGTGTTTTTCCCAAACGATTGTTATTACACAAAACAGACAATATTCTTGCAGGTTGCATGATGTTCTTCATTTATTTTCTTTATAGTTGATTGCAGTTAGCAAGATAGTAGTAGTATAGCGCGTTGCTTTGGATAAAAGCCTCAGCTAAATGAAATGTAATGTAACGTTTTATGTGAAATAATATATAGTTGATCACTCTGGCTCTCTCTCTCTCAGATCAGTGATTGTCTCTCGGCCCAGGCTGAGGTGAAGCTGCAGCTGCTCGGTGCAGAGCTCACCATCTTCAAATTCAGCGCCAGGTACATCCAATTTACACTAAAGGTGCAATGATTAATCAATAAATCAATAAAGTTATTTTCATTCTTTAAAGGCTGTTCTCAGCTTTTTCAATATGGTGATTTGCTGCCTTTCTCTTACTTGTAAATCTTGGACTTTTTTCACTTTTTCTGACATTTTACACACCGCCAATAATCTAGAGAATAATCTACAGATCAATCCATGATTAAAATATGCGTTAGTTGTAGCCCTACTGAACATAACAACAAAATCAAACTAAGAGCATGCTGTTGTAGATCACAGGTTCCACAGGTTATTGAGTTTAAAGAGTGCAAATACTTAAACTATATCTCAGCATAACATTTTTAATTTGTAAGAAGACAAATAAAATAAAATAGTCTTCATTCATATCTCAGAAACACAGCATTGATAATATAATTATTAATATCCATTCATATATTAATGTTTATATTATTGTATATACTGTAATACACACATTTTAAAATATGTATTGTTGTTATATATGTTAGTACAATGTGCTTATTGTTTTTCTTCATATCAATATTTCTAAAATATTTCATCCTCTGATCACAAAACACAATTTCAATCCAGGATAAATACAGTTTTCTTGATTCTGATTGATCCAAAATTAAAGTGATTCAGGTTTCAACAGTAATTCACAAACTTTCAACACATGCTCATAAAGAGATTTCCCATCATGCCCTGCTGTGTGAACAGGTGTGACAAGGAGCGTGTGCATCGTGGTAGTGTGGAGGCGGAGCTCGGTGACATGAGGCTGCTGCAGGAGGGGCTGCTGCCCACTCTGCCAGAGCTCCACAACCTGTGGAGAGACCTCACAGAGCGACTGACGGAGCTGCAGAGACAACACCAGCAGGTAACAACACCATATATTACACCATCAGGTAACAACACCATATATTACACCATCAGGTAACAACACCATATATTACACCATCAGGTAACAACACCATATATTACACTATCAGGTAACAACACCATATATTACACTATCAGGTAACAACACCATATATTACACTATCAGGTAACAACACCATATATTACACTATCAGGTAACAACACCATATATTACACTATCAGGTAACAACACCATATATTACACTATCAGGTAACAACACCATATATTACACTATCAGGTAACAACACCATATATTACACCATCAGGTAACAACACCATATATTACACTATCAGGTAACAACACCATATATTACACTATCAGGTAACAACACCATATATTACACTATCAGGTAACAACACCATATATTACACTATCAGGTAACAACACCATATATTACACCATAAGGTAACAACACCATATATTATATAAGATAAGATAAGATAAGATGAACCTTTATTAATCCCCGAGGGAAGATTCAGTTGTACAAAGCAGCTTTCAGGGTAAGCGTGAAAAAAACAGTACAGCAAAGATTCACACAGATCAATAAAATCTAAAATAAATAATAAATAACATAAAATCAAGGAAATAATGATAATAATAATAAAAGACTATGAAAATAGGAGATGAATACAAATAAGAGTATATTTACATATTTGTTCATCATCTAAGTCAGTGATTCTCAAATGGGGGTACGCGAACCCCTGGGGGTACGTTGGGGTACTGCAGGGGGTACGTGAGATTTATAAAAAAATAAAATAAAATAAAAGGTTAATTAAAAAAATAATCTAAGTTAAATAAGTTAAATAGAAAACACAATTTTATATAAAACATTCCTATAACCACCAAGGGGGTCCTCATATAAACATGTCAAATGTGTGTATTGTATTTTATAGTTTTTCACAATAACATATGACTTAAATTGAAAAACTCCTTGGAAAAATCTTTTTTATAAAAGTGTTATGTTATTTTTTTTCATGCATAAAATGAAAATATCCTTAGTTTGTTGTAATGCATACCACGAAGGAGTTAATACATCACACACTGAGGGAACATCACTATATTGTAATTATTTATATAGGCTTTTTCGATCACAAATGTTCGGGATCGGTCAGGGGGTACTTGGCTGAGAAAATGTTTCAAAGGGGGTACATTACTGAAAAAAGTTTGAGAAGCACTGATCTAAGTTATAAAGTGTGGAATAAGTTCAAGTGACAAGTTAACATGGGTTGTGGAAACAGTGTACCACAGCATGTACCACAATTAAAATCAAAGTAGGACTTTCTATGATGCCCATGTCTGATCAGAATCAGAAGAGAATATCTATAATGCATTAGAAACATACTTTTAATGGATTACAATTGGATAATAGATTTGTTTAATTATGGTTATAAGCACTCATAAACATTCATAATGTTTTAGAACCATTATAACACATGATAAAGTATTTCATTATGAGGTCAGAAATGTAAAACTTAATGGCTTAATTCACTGACTTTTTAGGAATAATTATATATATTTTACTTTACTTTAAATAAAAATGACTGTTAAAGACTTATAATCATATAATGATACTTATTATATAATTATTAAAATAACATGATGAGTAATACAAAGAAAAATATGCATTATAAAAGTAATAAATAATGCATAGTAGAAACCGTCTTGTACATTTTGACAGGATTGCATTATTACATTATTTAAATGCATAATTATGAGATAGTGAAGCATTACCAACCTAAAAATATAATAATGTAATGCATCCTATTTAGATTGTTATTATATTTTAAAAGAATACAATGGAAATTGAAAAGGAAATAAGGCATTGTAAAAAGAAAGTGATGCTAACAGGAAGATAGTGATGCATTGTAACATTGAAATGCAATATAATAATACTATAATGCATTATTTATTTACGAGTGCCTATATTTATACAAAGTTTTAATCAGAATACAACATAACGTTTGTTTATAATATATCAGAGACAGGTATGTGATAGATTATTCACATGAAAGTTTACGTGCTGTTTCCTGTCTACCTGTCCAGGACAAGCGGGGTCTCCTCGCCCAGGCGTCAGGGGGTGTTGCTGTGGAGATACAGACGACGGGGTCATCAGATCTGATCCAGCAGCTGGAGCACCTGAGGAGTGCCGGTGAGACGCTGCTCCACCAGAAGCAGTGCTACAACACCCAGGTACATCAACATCTGCAGCACCGGCCCAACCAGCTTAAACCCAAAGAAGAAGAGGTTGCATATTCATTTTATTATGAATTTATATACACTTTTTTAAGTAGCTTAAATTGTTGCCTTATACAATGTCCGAAAATTATTAAACATTCTCTATTTTGCAAAAGCTGAAAACAACAAGTTCTGAAATGTTTGCAAACATTTCTTTAATGATTAATTGATTGATCAAAATAGTATAAAAAGTATATATATTTTTCTGTCTGCAATTTTTTGGAGCTCTAATGTTCTATCACAGTTCTAAACTTAGTGGAGTTTTGGGAACATTTTATAATAACATTTGTAATAAATACTAACTTGATAGTTAAAAAAAACTTGAGCTTATAGTTATTTATTGTTCAAAAATGAAATAAGTACTCATTAACAATGGCATTAACAATGGTTATTACAAAGGGTTATTAATGTTAGGTTTTTTGTGTTCAGATGTCTTTGCTGAGCTCTCCAGCGGTGACCTTTGACCCTCGAGCAGGGTCAGAGGTTGTGCAGGCTGAGGTTGAGGAGCTGTGGAGAACAGCAGGAGGTCTGGAGGAGGAGCTCACACAGCTGCAGGATCTGGTTAGAGACACTTGAAGTTAAAACATTGGTATTGACTGTGTAGAAATTGAGTTGATGAGAGACAGAGACTGACTGTGATTAGGATATAGTCATTAGAATGCATGTGTTATGTTAGATATGTGGTTGTCAACAGGACAAAGCCACACACATGTGATGATCTTATAAACGTTGCATTGCTGCAGACTAAACTGGCTTACAGTATATAAAGAAGTTTAAAACATAAACAGCATTAAAATGCAACATATTGCAGCAGTAATATTAGTCCAGAAACATCTTGTATAATGGTGGGGGACATGTTACTTCCTAAAAATCTAGTGGAGAAAAAGTATAAAGTAGCCTACCCCAAAACTACACTTATGGCGCTTTTCCACTGCAGGACTTGGTAGCCAGGCTCACTTTATGCTGCATTTCCATTATAGTTTAGTAACAGGGGTAGTAACTATAGTAACGCAGTGTAGGGGGGGTGATCGGCTGTTCGACGGGTGGAGCGACACTGCGTAAAACTGCCGTGACGTCATCTTCAAAGCGAACCACAAAACAAAACATCAGCCGTTAGCTGTTAGCACTCAGAGCTCACAGCTCCTCATATCTGTTCAGAAACTAGACAAAAGTTAAACAAGTACAAACCACAGACTGCCTGTGTCATGGTGAATACAGTCGCTGGTTTATTTATGTCGGTATAGGCCGTTGTTGTGAGTGTGGACCGAGCATATACAACGTTAGCTTAGCCTTTTCGATCCGATCTCCATTCAGAAAACACGCATTTTAAAAGGTTTTTCGCCTGCCGTCTGTCTGCAGACCGGTATCAGTATGTTGTTACTTCGGCATCATTTTGAAACGTGTATTACAATTAAATCGAGGTAAAATATGTTCATTTTGTTGTAGTTGTAGCCCCCTTGCCAGCGATTCTCTCTTACCATTCAGCAATCGAGAGTGTTTACGTCACTAGAAGAGCATATTCAGCCGGGTTGTTGGCCCGGTAAGAACCTCGATTTTGGAGGGCCAGAAAAAAGTTGAAGAATAGCCCTGAGCCGGAACTACTCCTAGTGGAAAAGCAAAAAAAAACATGCCGTGGAAAAGCGCCATTAGACTCAGTACTTGAATAAATGTACTTCACTACATTCCACCACTGACCGTATGTGTCTGCCTGTGTAGAACATGGTGTTGGAGGCTTCCAGTCTGCAGCAGACAGAGTCCTTCGGCCTGCAGCTGGTGGACCTGCAGCAGAAAGCCTACGTCCTGTGCAGAGACCTGGACTCAGAGCTGCAGTTTGCAGCTCAGCAGGCTGAAGAGCATCAGGCGCTGCTGGAGGTAAACAGCAGGCTGGAGACCCAGATAGAGGACTACAGGAGGCTGTTGGATGCATCAAGCATACAAGGGTAGGACATAAAGACAATTATATGTGACCTGCTCTATCGAAATCAGTCGCATTGACCCGAAGACACATTTTGAGTTGTATACACTGTTGGAAATCGATATCAGGATTGTTTTTGTACTCCAAATATTTAGCAAAATATCGAGTCATCATTTTGAGAAATAGGCCTTCAAAGTTTCCTCTTCTCTGGAATCCATTGGTCTGATTGATTATTAGCAGCTAATAAATGATCAAAATACTACGGAGGGAAGATATTTTGGATTATTGGTCTGGGGGAAGCTCGCGAGTGTGTGTGTGTGTGTGTTTGTGTATTTTTGCATTTGTGTGTATTGTGTTTGTTTCCCGGGGAAAACACTCACGAGAAACACCGGCTGTTGTTGTGCCTGCTGTGACGTAAAGTTAATCCGTTCTCCGCTTGTAATTATGCCGTCACAAGCTTCAAAGTTGTATTTATCATCTGAATTTGCCGAAACAAGTTTAATATTCTGAAAGCCAAGACTTTGTTTAATTAAAATCAGATGAAAACAAACTCTCACGGACCCTGCCGTGTTATCCATGATTACTATACGCCTTACATTCATTAGTTCAGCCGGAGGGAGGGGAGCGGCGCTGAAGAACAGCAGAGTGTGAGTGAGAGGTGCCATCTTCCCTTTACAAGCTTCAAACATGTATTTATCGTATGATTTTGGAAATAAAAGTTTCAGATTCTAAAAGCCAACACTTTGTTTATTTAAAATCAAACAAAACACCCGAACCCCGAAAAACTATTTTTTCATGCAAATCCACGTTTATTTTTAAATGAGCCGTTGCGACTTCCAACTGATTTCGATAGAGCAGGTCACATATAATGTTTGAAACTTAGTTTGCAAATCATGTTGTTTTGTAAGTTCTTTTTTTAATATTATGTCTTTATATCTCCTGTTCAAAGGGTCTCAGGTCCTCAGTCAATCTTTGCGGCTAACGTCACACCTTTCTGTGCTAAAACCAGCCCACCTGCCTACAAAAGAAACATCACACCAATAAATACATTTAGCGTTCTGGGAGGAAATCTCAGGATGATGGGGGTTCAAACTGTCTCTAGAGGCCACACACACAATGTCATACAACAGCAATCAAAAAACTCACCAATAAAATCGATTAACACTTCAAATCTGACAGGATTATTCCACAAGCCTGAATACCAGGGCACAGGAGCTCTTCCAAAAAGAACCAAGAGCGAATCCATCACCGTCAGCATAACAGTGGACAGAAAGGGCAGTCCTGTGGAGCATAAAGTCCATACTAAAAATTGTGAGCTGCAGAACTCATCCATTGTCAGTACTGAGATCAGCCACGTTTTAGAAGAAGGGGCTGGTGGCAAAGCTTCTAAACCGAAGATAAGTACTGCACAAGAACACACAGCATTGGCAAAACCAGAAGATCTTACTTCTAAACAAATAAACACAGGAACTAGTTTGCAGGCTGATCAAACAACGACCCACGTTGAAACAGAGGTCCCCAAAAACGTTTCTTGTGTAGAACTAGAAGTAAAGCAAGAACAGCATTTGGCATCAACTGATCCCGGTAAAGGAACTGATACAGAGGTAAAAAAAGAGACAGAATCTACAAAGGTCATATCTTTAAGTTTGGAGATTCAAGCAGAAGCTGAAGAAAATGCGGGGACTGTTGCAGATACAGCATTGTTTGCTTCTGGATCTCACATTCTTACTTCTGAGGAGGATCAGGGTAAGGTCTCTTGTGAAGTAGCTGATATTACTGCTTCTAAACTGGAGATTAATACTCCACAAGGAAACACCACATTAGTTCTTGACACACACTCTGCAAAGAGTGCTGCTGTTCAAGAAAATACAGAACCTTTTACCAATAAACAAACTACCGCAGTTGGTTTGCAGGCTGATAAAACAGGGACACACGTTCAAACAAGGGGCCCAAAAAACATTATTTGCGCAGAACAAGAAGCAAAGCAAGAACCACATTCAGCAACAACCGATCCCAGCAAAGAGGCCACTGCAGATGTAAAGAAGGAACCAGAATCTATGACCTTGGCTCCCAAAGATTGCACTGACCAGGGTCCTGCCAAAGTTGTGTCTTTGAGTTTGGAGACTCAAACAGAAGCTGATGGGGATGAAGGGGATGTTGTCGTTACAGCATCCATTATTTCTGTACTTCACATGCATGGGTCTGAGGAGGGTCAGGGTAATGTCTCTGTTGAGATAATCCTGATCGAGGACATGGATGTAGAAACAGAAGAAAATAATGAAGAAGAAGGAGTAAAAGTAGAAGGTACATTCTCCAATGCCGAAAGAAGAAAAGTAATGGAAGAAGCAGATACACAGTCCAGCAATGCAACTGCTTCATCTGGTGGCCAAGACAGCAATTACAACCTTGAAAGTAAATCTCCAAGTAGAGAGATTTTGAAGGACCTTGAATTAGAAGGGAACGTTTTGGTTGGTTTCCATGATACCCTTGAGGAAAAAATGTACCCTACTGAGTCGGACAACGAGATCATTAATATAACAGACCAAGGAGCAGTGTTGAAAATCACAAAATCAAGAAAGTCGATTTTAAGTCTAACAGATTCTGATGTGGCTTTGTGTTTATCTGACCATGAGGAGATTCAGAGTCCAACAAAGCCATTTGCATGCTTGAGTCCAGAAATATGTCTAAGCCCAGATGAGACGGAGGTGTTAATGAGCATGACAGATCAAGTATTTTGCCCAGTTGATCCAGAACGGGATGTTAAAAGTTCTGATTCTCTTATGAGTCCAAATCATCCAGACATATGTTTGAGTCCAGTTGAGGTTGAGGTGTGTCTGAGTCCAAATGGTGAAGAAAAAGACAAAGAAGTCTGTCTGAATCTAACTGAGGCGATTGCACATGTGAGACCAGTAGAGAAATACGTTCAGTTGACAAAAGAGGAAGGCCAGTCTCCGTCCTTTAGTAGCGATCACACTTTGCCAGGAGAGGACAGAAATATAAAAGCCAGCGTTACAGTCAGAGATGGGGACAGTTTGTGTTTTGGATTGTTTCAAAACAGTGGAGGCGTGGAGTTTGGAGGTCCAGGTGGTCGTCGTATCATAGCAGACAAAGAGGGACAACTTGGCTTTGGAGACCTATATCGTAAAAGTGTAAGAGATGTGAGAAATCCCATGGAGAGTTTCAAAGATACAATTTGCATTGCAGATAACAAAGATGTTCAGAATCTAAAGGAAGGAGGCATGTGTGGCTCTGTAGGCCAGAAAGAGATTGCCAGTATGGATGGTAAAGTGAGGGGACAGAAAAACAATGATTGGCAGGTTGCCAAGGAGACAAGTAACAGTGAACAAGTGTTTGTAAGGTCAGCTAGCTTTGTAAGTCTCCCTGCCAATGAAGGATCTTCCTTTAGCGATTTGGAGAGTAATTCAGGAGGTAGTATTATGGCTAGTAGTTTTGTTGGCACAGCTGCAAATTCATCAGGTAGGGTCAGTGGTAATGCGGAAGCTGTCATTACAACTGGGGTAGAGGGAACTTTCAGGCAGGGAAGTGGAGACTGGAGGGTTTATGGCAGCAGTCTGGGATGCACAAGTACAACTTTCCCCAGTACAGGGAGTGAAGAAAGCCTGTCAGGCAACACGCTCCCTGTAGCAAGCCGAACAGAAAAAGGGCGGTTCGGCAGTAGAGGAACTGGGGAGTGGGTAGTTTATGGTGGCAGTCTTGGACGAAAGGGCAGCCTTGATGGTGGCACTTGCTCAGTTGCCTCAAACCCTGCAACAAGTGCACCAGAAAAAATAAGATTTGGCAATAGAGGGAATGGAGAATCGATGGTTTATGGACGTGAAAGCAGCTTGCCCAGATCAGGGAGTGAAGAAAGTCTGTCTGTGGGAAGGATCCCTGCAAGTCCACCAGACACAGGAAGGTTTGGAAGTGGAGGGAGTGGAGAGTGGATGGTTTCCAGCGGCAGTCTAAAACGCAGTGATAGTGTACCCATTCCACAGAGCAGGGACAGCCAGTCCACTGCCATGCACCTTCCAACAAGTCCTACAGGAACAGGGAGATTTGGTCTCAGAGGGAGTGGCGAGTGGAGAGTCTATGGTCAGAGTTCTGGACGTATGAGCAGCAATACCTTACCCAATGCAGACAGCGTAGAAGGACCTTTTATGGCAGTGCGACAATCAACAAGCCCACCAAGAGTGCAGAGGTTTGGCAGTGGAGATAGTGGAGAGTGGAGAGTTTATGGTGGGAGTAGTGGACGTTTGAGTAGTGCCAGTAATGCAGACAGGGTCAGTGTCAATGTGAATGTTGGCAAAGTCATCAGTCCGCCTAGCATCTACACAATTACTGGACGAAGGCTCAGCAGCACTGGTAGTGGTGGCAAGCTCAGCTCGGGTAGTGTTGTTAGGCGCAGTAGCAGCGTAGGTAGTGGTGGTAGTTTAAGTCACTCAGGAAGTGGAAGCAAACTAAGCAGCTCGCCCGGGAGCCACAGGATCAGCAGCTCTGGGAGATTCGCTAGCACTGGCAGCAGCGACTCAACGCCAGTTTACAGCTCAGCAAACGAATGGAGGAGCACAGTGGGGATTGTAGGGCGATCAGGTGGAGGGGGGACAACCAACAGCCAACAAGCCCCTAGCCCCGGGTGGCTGAGCAGTTCACCAGCTGGCAGGAGAGGCATGGGAAGTCCTGGGACCTCATCTAAAAACAGCAGTGGAGGTAGCAGCGACCATAATAGCAGCCGAACCGATGTAAGGATAAGCGGCTCCCCTGGGTCGGGGGGGTACTAAATGCACAGGGGGGAGGGTAATCAGCAGCAGCATCCGGCCGATCAGGAGCACTGGCAGCGGAGCCGGAGGCAACAAGGAGAGAATCAGTGTGTGTAAGATGGCGGCGCTGTCAATCTCTGCAGCAGGAAGGGAGAGAATTCAGGAAAGACAAAGACAAGCTCAACAAAAACAACAACAACAGGCTTCAGGTGAGGGACTAGTTTGAGTTCAAGTAAACCAATATTTGTAAATGTGACCATTGCCGGGAGAAA